CCCGGCCAGGATTCAAATCTTCACCACCTGGCCTTCTGAAGGCCATGTTCTTGATAGGAACTTTGTGCTGATCTCTTTTTCCGCCGAGTGAATACTTGCCTGCGCTACGTCGCGCAGCTATGTAAGTAGTGATCCAGCCCGCGCCATCGGCGCGGCAAGCAACGCGCCTGCCGGGAGAGTGACCCATGTCTCTTGTGACGACGTGTTTGGGGTCGATCGGAGCATCAGAATCACACGTAGCGCCTGCAATGCCCGAGTCACTTGCTTCTCCGCGGCCAAGGGCGGCAGCCGCAGGATCAACCTCTTCCAGAATTTCAGCACCTTCGTCTTCAACTTCATAGACATCTGGCTGGCTATCTTCTTCTGTCTAAGAATCAGCAGGTTTCCCTGCGTACCAAGCACGATTGAACTGCACCTGGGGATGAACATGTGTCAAGCTATTCCAGATAGCACTCGCTCGTTCAATTTCTGTCGCTGTGGCAGGAAGGTAATTCTTTTCAGTCATCCGCTGATGGTGTGGCGTTGTGTTGAAATCCGTACATTTGCCCGGACTATCTCCATGTGACCAAACCCAAGGTGTCTCTTTGAAGTTCGGCCTTCTCGATGGGCGTCTCACGGGACAGCCGAGCCTGCGGTCGGCGTAGCTGGGGCATGTACAGCAGACCCCTCGATACGTGTTCCGATCCTCGATGCTGGCCCTTTTGTGATCGCGCAGGTCCTACCTTGTCTTGCGTTTTAGTGTGTACTTTCCTTGATCGAATGATAGCGCCATCTTCGTTCCGTTTAACTTGGCGACGGGAATGCCAGTGTCGGATTCGATGTTCAGTCCAATTTCTGCCCAGTCAGTATTGCATCGTTTCAGCGGGTATTTGCAGCCGAACCAATCCAGGCATGTTCCAACCCTTTCATCGCTGTAACTGGCCGCCTGAATGCTCTTCTTCGTGATGCTGATCGTCGTGAGGCGGACTTCTCCGCAGAAGTTCCCTCCGTGGGGGGGCGCGCGCCCTTGGCGCCTTCCCTGGCGGGCCACTTGAAACCACCGCCTCAGGAAGGTGAGGGCGCTGGACGCCGCTCGAACAAGCGCAACTGGAGCGGGCTCGCGCCCGAGCTGGTGAGAGAGAAACTGGGAGCTCGACCGCGACGGGCCATGCGGTCATCATGTTCGTCTTCGTCGCCCATTGGCGAAAGACTTGGATCGTCGTGATACTTCTGTTTCTTCATAAAGGGCACGCGACGTGGCGATTGCCTCGGACTGCTCGCATACCGATCTGACGCAACAAAAGCGCACTGGAATTCTTCATTGTGTCCAAGCTCATATTGAACGCATTCAGATAGGTCACCAGCGTCTCGCGGGCTTCCCCGCAATGGATCATCATTGATCGATTCCATTTGTGTCGGATTCCAATCGCCCGAGGGTAGAGCATGGCATGCACTTCTTCGTATGTCGCAGGAATGGTCGACTCAGACTCCGCGGGCGCCCCCGCCATGCCGAAGTCATCTTCGACGGGCGCGTGGCATTTCTCGACGAACTCAATATCTGCAGGTTCCCCCGCGATGGGTCTACCCAGCCACTCTGCCAAGTCGATGTCGCTGTGGCCAGTGAACACCTCTTTGAACAGCTCGTCGGCGAAATTCTCGAGGCACATGCTGGCGCACAGATACCTGGCAGCCACGCAATGAATAACTGTGGCTGAGCCGTCAGCAGGGTCGGACAAGAGCGACTCCCAGTCGACGCGCTGCATGTCAGTGTCCGTCCGAGCCAAATGCATTGACGGACCGCTGTCTCTTCCATCGCCTCGGGGGCATTCGCGTCGGAAATGTTGCGCGCTGTGGCACGTGTCGCACTCTATAGTTTTACCGTTGGCACCCGTTGTATTCCCTCGCCGTCCTTTACCTTCGCCTGACGTGCGCCTGCGGTTCCTCCCAGCACCTATAAACATTTCTTCGCGCTGAGGCCCAGTGAGAAATGCTAGGAATGCAGGTATGCCTCTACGGTGTAGTAATCGCCGACGCCCACCTTTGCCCTTACTTCGACCCTTGCCTTTTCCCTTGAGCGTTCGCCGCGCCATGCGTCTCACCTTTCTGGCAGGTTTCTTCATGGATCTCCTCCGACGAAGCTTGTGTTTTTGATAACCCAAAAATAACCACTGAGCTTGCTGCTCTTCAGTAAGGTAGGTAGGCATATCAGGGTAATCTAGCGTAGTAGTTTCATCATCAGAAGACGCGTCGGCGTCGGTACCGGGGTCGATGTCGGACTCGGCGGGTTGCCACGCAGAGCCCATGAAGGTCATTGCTTGAACAGGGGAGACCGCGTCGGGTGGTCCCCTAGATCTGCCCCAGGGGTCTTGAGATCCCGAGGCCGTGCCGCCGTTCTGGGCCAACAGTGTAATGGTCTCAGACGGCGGCATATCATCGCTCCAGACGTTGTTAGCAGGTTGCCCTGCAGTGGCCTCTGTATGGAAGGTCTCGGTTCGGTGACCGCGACTAACAATACCACCGATATTGCCAAGGGTTTTTCTCTCAGCTATGTCCGCATATGACCTCATACGTTCGAGAAGAGCGCCAAAGTGTGCTTGATCCCTCGGCATGCGGTGGCTCAGAGGCTGTAGGGGCTGCTGTGCCCGCGACGTCCCCGCTCCCAGAGCTCTGAGTAATATTACTGCTGATATCTGGAAGTTGGGGATGTTGAAGCCGGCGGCTTCTGCTTCGTAGCGGGCTATCTCGAACCGTGCTAACGACTGGTCGATCCTTTCTCCCTCATGGACACGAAAGTCAATGAGAGCCGTACCAGAACTGAGTTGGCGTTCCTCTTCTAGGTTCTCGAACTTCGTACTTAAGAAGAATATAGTGTAAGTGACGCCATCGGTGTGGCGGCCACCTGTATTGACGCGAAAAATTAATGACTGCTGGGGGAACTCTCATGGCCATGGTCCGTGCGAGCCCTCCAAGACCACGCTGGAGTGCGGCGGCCTGCTGGGAGGGAGTCATGTTGCCTGCGGTCACGTTGATCCAGGCGTGCACCTCGCGAACAAACTCGCGAAATGGTACTTGACCGGCAGGGTCCCAATGGGGGCCGGTCGTCCTAGTGTCGTCTCCGCCCCGCATATGTCCCACCGCGCATCCAAGAGCAACCCAGATGAACCCAAAGACAGTAACCCCAATCCAATGGCCTCGTAGGTCGTGATCGGGTGTAGTCGGTGGAGACTCGTGTTTTGTCGTCGTAAGTCTGCGAGGGGTCTGAGGCGGCAGTCGATCGTATCGCATGTTACATGCATTATATATTCGAAAAGATTTCCAATTGGAGTAGGTGGGTGGCCTTCAGGAGTGTAATAGCGCAGGGATGTAGAGTAGGAGTGAGAGACCTCCGCTGAAGCAGAAGTGTCGCTGCAAGTTTCCTTGCGGTACTGCGTATCTATGTACACTCCTCCGCGCAATGCCTCTGCACGCTGATGTTCCACCATAACTGTAGTCCACCAGATGGCGCCGTGGATGGTGAGGAGTAGAGCTAGAGCTGACCACCATAGGCCAGCTCCACTATCAAGTTTGAAGGGGGCTGGGAGGCCCCGCCAGCAGCTTCGCCTCAGGCGAAGCCAAGCTCCAGCTCGGTTGTATTGTAGTAGCGATAGTCCCAATGCAAGAGGGGAAGCCATGTCAAGTAAAATGGGGTGCCTTTGAGTATCGATAACGATAGTGTGCCTCGCGATGAGGCGCAGGCAAGTTTAGGCGGCCGGCCGCTTGAGCCAAGACGGCCGCGGGCGCACGCTCGCTTCCGCTCCTTACGTCCCTCAGCTCAATTTAGAAAGAGATTGCCTCCAGACAATCCAGAGCGCCTTGAAGACGCCCCAAGAGGCCTCCAAGAGACCTCCCAAGGGGGCCCACAGAGACAGAGATTTGTGATTTTCCTGTCATTTCTGTCGGTTTCTGGCATTCTCGCCTTTTCGGCTTACCGGCGCTCCAAGACGGCCCAAGAGGCTTCCAAGATCGCCCCAAGACGGTCCACGAAGCCTTCAAGACGGCCCCAAGACGGTCCTAGATAGCCCCAAGACAGCGCAAGAGGCACCCAAGACGGCCCAAGAGAGCCCCAAAACGGCCCCAACAGGGGCCCTAAAAGGGGACCAGGAACCCAAAAGTCCAGCCTTCAGCCCCAAGAGACCCCCAGGAGGCCCCCAGAGGCCCCCAAGAGGCCCCAAGGGGCCCCCACGAGGCACCCGAGGAAGCCCCAAGAGGCTCCCAAGAGGCCCCATGAGGCCCCAACACCTCAGAACTGCCTCCCAACAGCCCGAGAGACGCCAACCACGAGAGCCCAACCAACATCCGTGAGGCCTCCAACCCGCCACCCACCGCCTCCGAAAAAATGGCAGCCGCCCAACCGCACCGCATTGACAACAACACCCCGACAAACGACAGCAGCGAGGCAATGTGGGCAAGCGGAATGAGCGAAGCGATTAAATGATCCCTGAACCAAATAACGCTGTACTGCAACGCGAACGTTTTAATGGTGCGGGAAGACACACGCCGCCCACTGTAGCTTCGGGCGTCCACGTTTGCGCTTGCGGTTCCGTGGTAGAGGACCGCGCGGATTTCCTGGATATGCAGCGTGTCCTTCTCCGACTTGGGGGAGGGAAGGGGGGGCACATCGAGGATGTCGGCTGCGGATGCTGCTGTTGGCGAATGCCTCAGCGGACATCCGATTCACCTCTACTGATTAACCTCTACTGATCCTCCTCCCTCTGATCCCCGAAAACTCGCAGTCTCAGTTTGATGTGCTGGCTTGCGCGCTCGCTTGCAGGGGCGTGTGCAGCCTGATCTTCGGACACGTGCTGGGCCGCATTGGGTCCGATCCTTCTCCCCAGTCCATTATCCTGCTGTTTCTGCTGCACCTCCTGTCGTTGCTGCTGGTCCTCCTTATCCTCCATGTCGCCCTCGTGCACCTGTCCGTCCTGCTGCATTCACTGCCGCCGTGCATGCCCAACTCCAAGGCCCTTGGCGCGAGCTCACTCCTCCATCGGCTTGACGAGGTCGGATATGTCGCCCACCCACGCCGAGAGCTCGATCAACACCTGGCAGCACTCTCAGGCGCAACCAGCAATGCCCAGCGTGGAGGGCACGCACCTCGGCACGCACTTCCGTGCGGGCGTTGCCATTCCGACTTCCAGCTGTTCGCCCTTCCAGGCCGTGCCTCCGCTGGAGGCCCGCGTGGGGCACGAGGGCACGCAGAAGCCGCGCGCCCGGCAACAGCATGCTGTGCGACACGGATGGGGTGGCGGCGAAGGCGAAACAATAGTGAGGAGGGGTAGGATGAGGTCGGGCAGGTCCCCCTACCGGCGGATCTTGGACGAAAAAATAGAAATTCACAAAAAAATAAACGAAAATGGGCAAAAACAGAAAAATTAGGCCCCAGACTATGGTTTGTATGTTTTGACCTGTAGAGGGTAAGACAACTCGTCCAAACGAACACTGGCATAAACATACAAACTCGGAGGTCCGCGCGGATTTCTCAGATCGGCGCTGGAAACCTCTGGCGGCCCCTCCGGCGCCTCCCCTGGCGCGCTCCGCGCGCCAAGGAGGCGGGTCCAACGCCGATCCAAGATCTCCGCGCGGATCTCAGAAATTTGTATGTTTATGTCGTTGCTTGCTTCCCTAACACAGACTGCGCTGCGCAGCTTGCACCACACGGCATCCACCGCCTGGCTTGCACCATGCAGCTTGCGCCGCATGGCCTGCACTGCACGCGCAGTGCGCACCGTCTAGCCATCACCACATAGTTTACGTACACCACATACCCTGCAGCACAAAGGCTGCACCAGATATCATACACCACACATGTGGCACCGCAAACCCTACTACCACAGTCATTCCTCCAGACAACATACCGCACACAACCTGCATGCCATAGCCTGCACCACACATCCCAAACCGCATAACTTGCACCAGATGGATTGCACCTCGTGAGGGCCATCAGCTTGCACCGAACACATTGCACCATGAGGGTAGCACTTTCACCACAGAAATTACACCACATACCATGAATCACATAGCCTTCACAGCACAACGTACACCATGTCATATAGCTTGCACCACAAATCTTGCGCCGCATGTTGCGCAGGGACGACCGTCCAGGCATTCCTTCAAACCTACCACGAAATCTCATCAGAACAAGAGAATGTTCCAATACAAATAAACATTCTTATAACACAAAGCCGATATATCAAACGAACAAGGTCTCAGCCGAGGCCCCAGCATCGAATCTGCCCTCAGCCCATCCCCTCCGGCGTTGTCTCTGCAGGGGAAGCGCCTCGGTGTCAGCGTAAGCCTCCCCCCCGCGCGTGGCGGCCGCCGCCGCGCGTGGCGGCCGCGGCAGGGTGCCCGACTTCTCGAGGGTGGGGGCGCGAGCTTCGGGGATCTACCGACCCGGGCGAATGCAAGCCCAGGCTTGCTTCGCAAGATCCTGCAGGATCCTGCAGGATCCTGCAGGATCCTGCGCCCAAGCCCCGGGTCAGTGCACCCCTGGCTTTGCAAGATCCGGCGCTGTGACTGACCCCCGTTTGCATCGACCCCCGCCCCTTGAGCCCCGAGAGCTCAGCTCGGTGGCGACCCTGGGGGGAAGTCCGACTAGGCGGGATTTCTCAAAAGGCTCCGAAGGCCTCTGATTATTTTCAAGGAGGCCAGGGACACACAAAGAAAGACACACCCGAATCCGAGAAATACATAGATACAAACATTCATACATACATACTTATGCATACACACATACGCATACATGCATGCATGCATACATACATACACACATACACACATACATGCATGCATGCATGTATACATACACACATACGTACACACATACACACATATACACATACATATATGCATTCATGCATACATACATACATACATACATACATACATGCATACATACATACATTCATACATGCATGCATGCATGCATGCATACATACATACATACATATCATATGCTACATGAATGTCACATCCAAGATATTATCTGGACCTTCGTCTTCCCCACCACTACCCATATTCCCACGATTTTCAACGGAATCGAAGATTACAGTGGAGGCTGGTCCACAAGAAACCGTCCACAAGAAACCCAACCCTGAGACGTGAGACCCCAGGTCGCCCGTTGATTCCTGGTGTGGGAGCGTCACGCTTTCCGTCGCAAAACCATCGAAGCCCGAGAAACAACGGGCACCCCGGAGGCAGACAGGGTGTTTCTTTGGCGTGGGCCTCCAGTGTGAGGGGGAAAACAAACCTACCTCGCTTTTGACCACCCTCGCTTCCAAGCGATACCAAACGATGCCACATTGCAGCCCGTACTGGTCAGGCCGCTTGACGAGGAGGCGCGTGGTATGGCTTGGTTTTGCCTGGAAGCGAAAGCGGGGGGTAGGTAATTCACGCTCTGAAATGTATTTGTGTCTGGCCAATTCTCGAAGGGAGGGGGTCTCATTTCGGGGGGGGGGTCTCTTCCAGGCCATCTTGGAGGGCCTGGGGGGGTCTGGGGACGATGTTTTGGCGGGCTCTCCCACGGGGGAGGTCTGAAATGGCTTGTCTTGGAGGGTCCAGACCCCCTCCCTTTTACTACGAAAGCTGGAGTGTTTGTGTCTGGCCAATTCTCGGAGCCTTCTCCCAGGCGCCCCCCGGCGGGCCCCGCGCCCCGCGCCCCGCGCGCGCGAAGAGCGCGGCCGGGGGGCACGCTGTAGCAGGACTCGCGGATCCCCTGCCGGGCGGCGCGCGCCGACGAGGGGCCAAGAACGGGCGCGGCGGGGGAGGGCCGAGGATGAATATGCGGTTCCCATCGTGCAGTCGGCCCGTATCATAATCAGGGGGACGTAAGACCTGGGTACAGGGGACTCGGAAATCCCCGACGAGGTCGTGAAAAAAATGACGAGGCCGAGCCTGCATTTTGACGGGGCCTCCCGCTGCAGACATCCCACGAAACTCCTCCTCGTCAAAATCCGAGGCGCGGTTGTCAAAAAACGATGGCGAACCCGAGTCCTGGCAAACCCGGGTCTTACGCTCCCCCGACATAAGGATGCACGGTGAGGATGCAAGGGGGTGGAACGCCAATCTCGACGGTTCTCAAGCGCGGCGCTGCCAGCTGGAGTGGCCAAGGATGGGCCGAGGGAGCAAAGATGCAAGGGTACCCTTGGGAAGGATGCCAAGCCTTTGACTATGCGGGTTGACTGCACGTGAAGAACCAATCCCAACAATGATTACGAACACACCGAAGAGCGTCGTAAGAGTGTCTGCCCGACACGCTGCCCGTGTGCCGAACGAACGTCGCCTTCACGGGCCGGACGCACGAACACCATGCAGCTTCGATGCCTTTCCTGGCGCTCGAAATTGTTGCGGGTGCTCAGGGCTGATGTACAGGAGGAGCTCGACCACAGGAGACCTTCCACGAGAAACCCAACCCTGAGACCCCAGGTCGGCCATCGACTCCTTGGTGTAGAACGTCACGCGCTCCATTGCAAAACCATCGAAACCCAAGAAACCAAGGGCACCCTGGAGGCAAGCAGGGTGTTTCTTCGCCTGGGTTCCCACTGTGGGTTGCAACATCATGCGCCAAGGGCCGGCGCCGCGGGTGCCCTCCAGCACGAAGCCGGGATGGACCCCGTGACCCGGGCCGGAGGCCGTGCTGACACTCCATGGAAGGGGCCCAAGGACGCACCAACAGATAGACGCAAGTCCCAGGATCGCCCGGATTTTCGATATTTTCTGGGTGGTCGTTGCCCCCTCCCCCTACCATATTTTCCCACATCTTCCGAGGTTTCCCACATCTTCCCGGGAGACGACGCCCCGCCCGAAGAGATCAAACCCTTGGGGCCTCCTGGGCCCCTCGAAGAACACAGCAATCTGCAAGTATTGAGGGATTGAGGATGCCTGGCTTGTGTATGCCACTGTTGTGTTCTTTTCCTCCTGAGTCGGATCGACCTCCGGCATCTTGTGTCGGGCGCGGGCGGAAGCGGTGAGCGCGCTGATTTTGCCAGGTTGTTCTGCGATTTGTTTCTCGTTTTTTGGCTAGCGTGGTGGCACGGCCTCTCTTCAAGGCTCCCGACCAGGCATCCTCGCAGGCTCGATGTTGCCCGAGGAGCGTTTTCCTCTTCGTGATGCACGGCGCGGCCCGAAGCTTTCCAGAACTCCCGTCCTTCGGGGTGGCCCTGCCTTCGGTCTGAGCGGGCCTCATGCGCGCAAGTTAGACGCTCGCTCTGGGGACCTTCCTGGAGCCACTCGCTCCACTCGTGCGTCGAAGCTGCGTCGAACCTGAGTAGATTTGGGTCGACCCTGAGTCGAACCTGCGTAGAACTTGAGTCGAATTGGGGTCGAACTGGGGTCGAACAGATCCGTTACTCCAGATCTCGTAATAAAAGCGAGGGGGTCTGGACCCTCCAAGACGAGCCATGTCAGACCTCCCCCGTGGGAGAACCCTCCAAAACATCTTCCCCAGACCCCCCCAGGCCCTCCAAGATAGCCTGGAAGAGACCCCCCCCGAAATGAGACCCCCCTCCCTTTATTACGACATCTGGAGTCGGTGGGCTCCAGGAAGGCCCCCGAAACGAGCATCGAACGCAAGGCCTGCCCGACAAAGTGCGGGCCGGGCTCCAGCGGCGCAGTGCCCGACGGGCTCGGGCCTCCCCCTCGGCGCTCCGTGCCGTCGACGCGCGCCCTCCACGGTGCAGGGCCCTCTCTGGCGAACGTCTTCTCACTGGGCGCTTCGACACGGAACGAAGAGAGGGGGAGTTGGGCGTGGCTTAAATGGGGGGGTCACAAATGGGGGTCAGAAAAGGTCCCCTTTCGTGCCCCTTTCGGGCCCCTCCAGCGCCCCAGGGGGCTCGTTTAGGTACCGTTTGGGTACCTTTTCGGACCACCCTCGCCACCCCCCTATTTATGACCCCTCCATTACGCGACGCCCAAGGGAGGGGGGAGGGTCTGGCTCCGGACCTCTGCTGAATAGCGTCTGTGTGGAACCGTGCATCCTATTGGGGGAGGGACTCCACCTGCTCGCCGCAGGCGCCAAAAAGCAGCCAAGATCCACTCCACTGGAAGGGGAACAATGAATGAGAAAACGATCACCCATTAAGCGGTATTTGGTTGTGCTTGAAGCGGCATTGCGGGTTCTGCATGCGGCGCGGGGCTCCGGGGGGGAGCGGGGGGGCCGACGAGGAGCGGGGCGAGCGGCAGACAAGCCTCGACGATTTCGATTGGCATCGCAAGGACGTATGTTTCAACGCTGCGGGGGCACCTGAAAGAAAGCATGGCGTCGACAGCAAATCTGCCGACCCCTTTGCGGGTCTCTAGGCGCGTGGGATTACCCGCCCGCGCGATCCCCCCCCTGGGGCCCCAAGCCAAAAATTTGACAACCTTCCTGATGGCAGCCAGGACGGCTCTTCACGGCCCCGGGACGGCCAAAAACGTTCGAGCAGGGCCTCCAGGCCTCAAGGAACCTCATCTGGCACCAAGGCGTGCTCGAGACGCTCCAAGTTGACTCCAAGACGCGCCCCATGGGCGCCAAGAAGTGATCCCCCCCCCGAAAAGGGCACCACTGCCACAAATCGTCACATCCCCATCGTCACACAAATGCGCATTCCGGTGCTCGTGGCGCCCCACGAGGCCTCGGAGGCCTCCCAAATCGTCCCCGAACGGCCCAGCAGCACCCGCGCGAGCCCCGCGAGGTCCTCCGCGCCGCGCCCAGGCGGTCCAAGACCCACCCCAGACGGCCCCGCGGTGCTCCCACCCAGCCCGAGACGCTCCCTGGACCGCCGCAGTGCAGTGTGCCCCCGCCGAGAGGCCCTCCGCGGGCCCGGACGCCCCTGCAGGGAGCGCTCCCCGCGACTCTCTCCCGCGGCCACCGCGGTGAGCTTCCAGACGGCTGCCTCCCGGGAAAGGCTCCCGCACGGCCCCGCGGGACGCTCCTGCGAGCCTCCCTCGGAGCCCTCTCCACGGCCACCGAGGAGCTTCACGGCTGCCTCTCGGGGAGGGCCCCCGCACGGCCCAGCAGGACGCTCCTGCGAGCCTCCCTCGGAGCCCTTTTCCAGAGGAGCCCAGGCACGAGGGAGCGATGCTCTGTGTAGCCCCACCTCCGACGGGAGGGCCCCCGCACGGCCCAGCAGGACGCTCCCTGCGAGCCTCCCTCGGAGCCCTCTTTCCACGGGAGCCCGGGCGCGGTGGAGCGATGCTGTGTAGGAGCCCCACCTCCGACAGGGGGGAGCGGGCGTCTGCTGCCGGAGGGTCGACGTCGCCCGACGCACGAGTGCAGTCGGGCCGCCTGCCCGAAGGGGCGAAAAATGAAAAACGAGGCCCCTTTTTTTAACAGACACACACACACAAACACACACACACACACACGCACACACACACACACACACACACACACACACACACACACGCACGCACGCACGCACGCACGCACGCACGCACGCACGCACGCACGCACGCACGCACGCACGCATGCACACACAAACACACACACACACACGCACACATACACACAAATGCATGAAGTCCGAAGGAAGGCTCGCCGCCGAAACAGAGCGGAACGCACGCAAACCTAAGAGAAACGACCGAGCCCTTTTTTTGAAAAAATTAGCGTTCCTTATTCCACGGCCCGACTGTCGTCACCTTCTTCTCCTGGCCCAGCCGATCCTTCCCGCGAAAGTCTCCGACATGCTGCGATCCGGGCAATCACGCCGACGGACGAGATGGCGGCGCGCGCGCCGCTCCTCTCTGCCAGCCGCACCGCAAACGGTTCGCACCGCCACGCACATCTTGAGGCCAAGCGCCCGCAGAGGCGGGCGGACGGAAACTGCCGAACAGGGCAGGGGGAGCGCAGGCAACGGCCAGGGAGAACAAAAAGCAGGGACGACGTAAGGGATAGCAGAACTTCTGTCGACGGCACTGGCCCCCATCATGGCCATGGCCAGCGCCCTGCTTTGCGTTGCTCCACTCTCTTGCAAAAACAGCCGTCTTGCGAAATCCTCAACCCCCTCGGCCCACGACCCCCATCGGACCGTCTTGAGGTCTTGGGCCATTGGGGCTCTCCTGGGAGCCTCTTGGGGCTGTGTGGAACCCTCCTTGGGCCGTCTCGGGGTCCGCTTGGGCCGTCTTGAGGCCTGCTTGGGCACATTTGCGGCCCACTCAGGCCCTCATCCTCCGTGCGCCCAAGCGGGAGCGGCCTGACCCGACCGCAGAAACTGTGGCAAGCAGTCCAGCGGAAGAATAAACGAGGGGCCGGCGGATGCGACGCCAGCCTGTAGAACCAACGAGCGGCGTAGCATAACGACACAACTGGAGGCCTCCTAGATGGGGTCCGAATAGATGTGGTCGAAGGATCCTGCCGCACCGCCGATGCATAGGCAATGCGGCTGCATGTTGAGCCCGACTTTCTCCACGCCGACGTCGCCGGTGCATCGCAAACGTCGCCGATGCGACGCGATCCTTCGACCACATATACTCGGACCCCATCTGGGAGGCCCAGGACAACGACTAGAGAATCAGCTGCGGATGTCGGCGGCAGCCCCCGCGGAAGAATGAACGAGGGACCGGCGGATGTGACGTGAGCCGCTGGAACCAACGAGCGGCGTAGCAAAACGACACAACGACTACAGTCGACCCGTACCCCAGGACGCACGACAAGGATGCAAGGGCCTTGACAGGCCATGCCGAAGCTTTTCGAGAGGGGCGGGGCTAACGGAAGTGGCCAAGGATGGGCCGAGGAGG